TTTTCTTCTCTTGATCACAAGATAACAAGGGGAAACGCTAATCATTTTGGAGTCCTATGGCCCCAATCTATAGTTTTTCCTCCCCGCTACAGATGCTTCTACGTATTATAAAAGTCAAATTCTTTGCTTTGGTTCTAAGTGTGTGAACTCTTTGAAATGATTCAGACAAGAAAGATTAACTAAGCGCATGTGCATGCACACAAAGCAGTGCTTTGGCAAAGCAAATTCCCCCTTGCCTTATAAGGTTGAGGAGAGTGCACAATCACACACACATACACACATAAGGAGAGTCAGCACTCACCTCCCTCCCAAGATGCCTCTATTTTTTTAACAGCTTCTTTTGGGGCAGAGCCCCTGTTTTCTTTTTCTTTCTTTCTTTTTAAGGAGCTCTACTTGCTGGCAAGGCAGGATGAGGAAATGGCTGACTGAGGAAAGAAAGTCTTCTTAAGGCAGTTCCTTTGAACTGTGTCACCTACACACTTCAAATAGAACTGCAATTAGGAGGGTTTTTTTCCTCTTTTTTTCTGTATGGCCACTTAAATTGAAGAGAACTGAATCCCCCAGTGCAACTTCAGAGAGAAAGAATGCAAGTTGATTCACATTTCTCTTGCTATGTAGTCACATCCTGTGTAAGATAAAGAGGTTGGACAACTTGAAGTCAAAAGGGCAACCCCAGTTTTGTGTTACAAAGGCAACACTCTGCATGCTGTGCTGCATGCATCACACCCTCCAGCATGGCTCCAATGAGAGGAGGTGTTCACCTCCATTTTTATATAACCGCAGTTCCTCAATGCACCTGAATTCAAAATTTTGGTTAATCTTAGGTATGTTTCACCAAACAAGACAACTCCTGAAACAGTTTGGAGTTGGATTGCTTTTGTAAGTGCAATTGAAGATATCTCTTAGCTTTTTCTGGTTTAGCCATGGTAACAAGCTGCAGTAAGTCAAACAGATGCAAAAGGTTCCAAAATCCTCCTTGTAGCCACTTTGGGGGAATGGACAATGCAAGAATGACCTTGACTTGTTCTCAAAATGCCAGTGAGCTGGGTACTCATTTTACCGACCTCAGAAGGATAGAAGGCTGAGTCAACCTTGAGCCGGCTACCTGGGATTTGAACCCCAGGTCGTGAGCACAGTTTTAGCTGCAGTACAGCGATTTAACCACTGCGCCACGAGGTTCCTCAGATGCAAAAGATTCCAAAATCCTCCTTGTAGCCACTTTGGGGAAATGGACAATGCAAGAATGACCTTGACTTGTTCTCAAAATGCCAGACTGTAGTTTATCATTACACAGAAATGCACTCAGTGTGGCTTTTCAAACCGAGAACTTCCATAGACCTTTCAGAAGACCATGGTTCTCAACTGTGAGGATTTTATAAATTTACGTTTGAGAATTTTTTTACATGTTTATTGTGTATTTTATATTGTATATAAACTAGCTGCAGTATTACAAAGACTATAATACATTACATAAATATGTAAAATTTGCTGAATATGCTCATGTAGATAAACAATCCATTATTCTTGGACGTGCCTAAGCAAATAATTTCTTCCTTCCGATTTTTATCTCACACATTAGACTGCAGCACCACAGTTCAGGGATCATAGTCTTTGATCTTGTTTTTAACCTAAAGACAATTATTTCCTTAATTGGGAAACATGAAAATCTGCTCATCTCTCACCCATTTTTTCTTCTCTTATACACCCTTGTTTGAAGAACAGACAGCATATTAGGCACAACCAGGAATGTGAATTCCATGCAGGTGATGTTCATTGCTTTCAATGGGATATATATTTAGTTGAGCATCTGCACCTTCAAAACAAATAGCTCACATATATGTATGAGTAACTCTGCATTGAAAAAAATCCCCCAACACTAGAACCAGAAAAAAGCAAGACTTGAGATAGATTTGTCTTCAGCACTAGCACTATTCTATATGGGTCAGAAATCAAGACTGCCAGATTGCTACATCATCCACCATGGGAAACAAAGCAATCTTATTTCCTGCAGGAAACTGTTTCCAAAGTCTTTCCAAAATACCAAGGGAAGCCTGGAAAAGCATGTCAGTCCAACACAGCCTCCCTCCAACAGTTAAGTACTCTGTGCCCCAACTTGTGGGTTGACTGCCATTAAAACAGATCAAGTAGCAAACCCTATTGCATCAAATATATATCTCCTCCTTTTTTGTTAAGTGTACAGTATTTGTTCCATAAACCACCAGTTTCTCCTTTCTCTTTACAATCCCTTTTCACTCCCCTCCGAAAATGCACAGAAAACTGATAATACTGTATGTCCTTATTTTCATTTCTTTCTTCTGCATGGACTACCGAAAAAGACTCGAGACACGTCCAACTTTATATTTTTAGCATTAATGGCAAGGATTCTAGCTATTTTTTTACACATGAAAAATCTCATTTTTACACTTTTAAACACCTACTTGTAACTCTACATGAATTTGAAGTGGAGGAAGAGTCCACAATTAAGACTACGTCATCAGCTACCACAAAACAGAAAGCACTGCAGACCAGTGGAAGAGATGGTTTTCTGGAATGTTATTTTACCATCAGTCAGACCTTGTATTTATCTATGGTTCCTTCAGCCCACTTCCTCTGGAATGAACCTCCTGGAAAATGGATCATGACAGCAACTGAGTTACCAGAACAATGTCATAACATTTCCACATAACTATAACACGGTCACGTTTAAATTGTCCACTTGGGCAGCCAATCTTTTTTGAAAACCAAGTTACACATAAATAAGGAAGCAGGTTTGCATTTCATTTATTTATTGGTATATATAATTATGTAAATAATACATTAGGACTGTTTCTCCTAATGTGCTAGCACAGTCATAGTACAGAGAAGATAAACTGAAGCCCTGGGACCACCTTCCCCTGCCTCCATCTTTGTTTTAAAAGATGGGGTTTGAAGATCCTGAAGCTCCAGATTTGGTAATCCACCTATTAACATCCCACCAAAACAGTTCTTCTTTCAAGTATCCCTTCCAGACATACATATATGTCTGTGTATGAACAGTTGAAATTTCAGGTGGTCCGAGTGGCCCTTGTACTGACAAATGTTACCCATCCCTGACATACTAGAATCTTACTAGGAACTGATCCAGTAGGTGTCAAGTGTTGCGCTGGACCTATGACTTGCTATGGCAACGCTTATTGTCAACTGCGGTTTTCAAATGGCACATTTATCAATACATGTTTGTTCCAGCACTTTCTAATTACAAAAGGAAGAGAAAGTTTCACTAACCCTTTCTCTAAGGAAGCAAGGTAGTAGTAGGAACTTCCTGCCAAAAGCTCCCTTGCAAACCCTCTAAGGAAGCAAGGGCTCCTTCTAGTAGTACGAACTTCCTGCCAAAAGCTCCCTTGCAAACTGCAGGGTGGACATTAAAATCCCTCTGTGAACATGTTCCACTGTTTACAACTTGAGTTTCATGAACAAATGTTGAGCCATAGTCTTATCATAATTATTTTAAATGACAGTCCTCCAAAATCCAAGGAATGTAAAACCTTATCCCCAGCACTATATGGCCATTTTTCAAACAAGTCTTCTGCTTTTACTTTCTAATGACTGTCTCCTAAATCACATCAGAAATGCAACCAAATGCAAGTAGAGAACTGTGAAGTGTGGTTTCCACACAGAATTTCCTGGATCTCCTCTTTCAAACCATTCCCCTGTTATATCTGAAAACCTCATAGAAATAACATTAAATATTAAAGAGATTTACAAACCTTTCTCAACACCACTTATGTTTTTAAAAATAATCTCAGCTGTCATAGTGGAGGAAAGTGGGAGTCATTCAAATGTCACTCCTTAAAATTCTTCAGGAAAATAGGTCATTGTCCTGTATTACTTTCATTTCTCTGCCACCTTTCTCCTGGAGAAAGGATCTAAGACAGCTCACATATGATTTTAAAAAAAAACAGGCACAACTAAAAGCAGAATAAGTTACAACATTTCTAAAAACAATACTGTAATTATTTTTAAAAAGGCTTAGTGATTTTGAACAATTTACAAATACAAATACACCATAAAACAACAAATGCACAGCATTCCACAATATGCCTCCTTCCTGTACAATGTAATTGTGAAAATTCTGCCTAAAAAGGAAGCTTTTTATTTTACAACAGTGGGGGGGGCACTCTGGCTTCTCAGAGGACAGCATCCCACAATTTGGAAGCAGCCACCAAAAAGACCCTCTCTTGCACCATCCCCAGCAGTGGAACTGAGAGAAGCCCCCCCCCCTCGAATCTTAAGAATCAGGGAGTTATTCCTTCACAAATCTTCAGAAGCCAAAAAACCTTGAGCCATAACTTGGTTTCTTAAAAAAGAGAGATTGGCTCTCAACCCCAAAGGGTCTGAACCCCAACATCTTTTTTTTTACTTGCCTCCACTGTAATATCTGATGGTGAGGACCCATTAAGGTTATCAATGAAAGATACCCCAAATGCTCTTGAAACACAATGTTAAATAAGTACAACCCTTGGAAGCTGTTTCCACAGCCTTGAGGCATCACTCTTGTTTCCCCACGGAAGTTAATTGGTTTGGTATAGAAACTGGAGGTGTTTCTGTCCACATCCTGGGAAAATATGGCCAGTCACAACCTCAACCCCTTGCGCCTGGCAAGCAGGCAGGAGCCCACCAGAACCTCTGTGGAAGTGGCCCCTGCTCTGGATCCCGTGTGAGCCCGAAGGCCGAAGCCGTTCACACGTTTTCGCGAGCCGCGGCTGGGAAGGCATTCGCCCGCTCTTGAGCCGCCCTCTGGCGCCCGTCCAGTTCCCCTTTAGGCCAGGCTCGGCTTCTTTCCAACGAGGCACTTGCTTCCCTTGCAGGTTCACCTCAGGAGGGGAAAGGCGCCCCTGGCTGGGCTTCACCTTTTCCTCAGGAGGGCAGGAATGGACTTCCTCGAGAGGAAGCGGGCTACACGCCGGGCGGGGAGTCCCTAGTGTCCGCCTCGCGAGGCAAAGAACGGAGCGCCCGCTTACGTGTGGACGCGGCTCGGGTTTCTCTCGGGCTGTCCACCAACCCCCGAAAGCAGCGCTTCCGCTCCGCTC